TGTACATCAAAATCTTTATCACCAATCAGGAAGTCCATAACCACTCTTTGAGTTTGCTCTGTTACTGAAGTCTCATTGAACTACGTGCATGATGAGAAGAGCAGTAAAGGGAGACTGCAAAGTCCATGCCCTCCTTTGAGAGACCAAAGAAGGAGGCACAGCAAGGTAATTTGGGACAGAGTAACAAGTCCACTATTGTTTTTTTTTCTTTTGTGTTGCATCAGCAGGTGAAAGGTGCCTTCTTTATTCAAATGATATAATGTGGAGATGTCCTTTGCACACGTACCTGTAATGCATGCGCTGTAGGGCTGGGGGAAATGAGATCCTCTGTTTGCTTTCATTTCCAGAATCTGCTCTGTTAAGTTGTCAGGTTCATTACTAGTTTCCTTGAATGCAGAAGCATTTCTTTTTTGCAGGTGCTTTGCTAAAATTATGTTTCATTGTAAAGAACAGGTCTTACCCTGTTTGTATTTTTTAAATCCTACATTCACGGGTGTAATCACATAAGCAATTAATAATAGCCAAACAGTTAACAGTAAAACAAGATGTTTTTGATTTGGATTTAAGTCATTGAAGAGTCCTTTGCTGAGCCATACAAAATGCTTCAATTGTGTGATTGTTCTAATCATTGCTAATGAAGTTGACACACCCATGATGTTGTTTTTGGCTTTGATACCTAAAGGACTTAGTGAAGCAGCTGGAGGGTTTGGTTGTGTTCCACATATCACAGTGTTGTGGGACACTAGGACAGTAGTTGCTTCAGGGAAGCAAGAGAAAATCAACACTGGAATCTTCAGTGTTCATCTTCACTCCCACTTCGATTCTGTTCTGGTTTCTTTTAGCTTCTCAATGCAGCAGCAGGAGACCATTATAATTCAGTCTGTGCAGGAAAAAATGAAATACTAAAAATTACTTGATCTCCATTTTTAAAGTATGTATCTGAGGAAAAATAGGTGATACTTTAGGGCACTTCAGTAAAGTGGTTTTACAAAATCTAAGTACTGGACATTTAAAGCTAATCAGGTTTAACCTGGGAATAAACTGAAAAATAAGTTATGCAAGGGTAAGCAGTTAGTGGAAAATTGCTAAGGTGTATAGACTGTGTATAAGGATGCCTTTAAAACAAGATATCTAAAAGATATGAGGTGTAATTCAACCAGTCTGTGTGATCAGGAGGCTGGTCCAAATGGAGATGGGTATTTCTGTCGAATTTCTAGGTTGTACCACATGAAAGCAGTAAGGAAAAAGGGAAGTTTTTTCTTTTTAAGTGACTAATACCTTCTGACTTTTCTGTCAAATAGGCCAAATATGGGTTGCAACTTGACAAGAATAATAAACGCTTAAACTTTATGGGTTTTTTGGCATATTTAATTCTTAACTAAAGAGTAGGCTCTCTTCAGGAAAAAAATGATAATGATGTCTAATTGTTAAAATGTGCTAGTTAGCACTGTTGAAGGACTTTGCTTAGATTGTAGTGTAGGAGAGGAGAGCTCCTTCCCTCTCTTTTTTTTAAGTTGTCCACATCCTGACCTCAGGCCTTACTGTTAAGAAACTGAAGAGTTCACCCTTTCTTTGCTCCTGCTGTCTGTTCAGGAAGCAGGAATAAGGGCCCTTCTAGATTATGCCAATGATAATATGGGATTTTGCTTCCCTTTCAGCTGGGAGAGACATAGCATCATCCTAGGGTCTTTTTGAGAGGTAATGTGCTTTTTTTTTCCTAGAAAAAATAGATTTTAAACAGATATAAAAAGAATAAAAGAAACAAAAAGACATAATTGAATATGTGGAAGTCATTATGAATAAGGAACATACAAAGGAGAATTAACTTTCACAAGATACATGCCAAAACCTAGCAAGGTACACCAAAAAGATTTTTAAGAAAATTATGAAAGATAGAAAAAGAAATAAATTAACTTCTCTATCTCAAATACATTAGAAGTTTAAAGTCTACTTCTAAATCTATAGAATATGAAAACAGTGTGAGAGCAGTTACCGATATTCTCTGTGGAGGAGCTTACAGCTATTGTAACATTTTTCAGGAGGGGAGGAAAGAAAATATAATAAAATTGAGTCAAAATAGTTTTAGGCTAAGTATAGCATAATTTTAATATTATTCTAAAGAAAAGCACTGCTTACAGAGTAGCTTAAATGACACAAATATGAAATTGCCAGATTTTTAACTGGACTATGCATCCTAGCTGTTTGAGGGTGGAAAGTGGCTGTTGTGCTGCCAGTCTAGAGTCTTTGGCTTTGTGGTAGGCAGACCTTTAGAAGCTAAGTAATAAAGATTAGGTGAGAAGGCACAGGCACATGCATTATGAAAAATTTACATTGTGGTTTTGTAGCACTGCCTCGCTGTTCTACTATTTTTTTGGAAGGAGTTAACGTAGACTGGTTGGATGCTGTGAGCTGCTCCAAGAAACATGATCCAAAGTCATCACCATTCCTCTTATAAAATTATGATGCTGTTCAGTAAGTGGGAAAGTTCCCTTCTCGGAATGATGTGAGAAGTAAAAATGTAACTTTGCAGAGTAAAGGGTTTTTCCGCTAAAGTCTTACTAGCTTAGTCTGCATACATGGGCCTATTGCTGTATTTATGAGAGGATGAAGGACAAGGTAGGCTTGTTCAAGAAGAAGGTCCTTTACAGGTCAGCAGAAAAAAGCTCATAACACTTAAAGACTGAGCTATAAAGTGGTAGATGAAATTCTATGTTAATAAATGCAAAATAATCCACTCAGGGTGGAAAGCCAGCTGTGACGGTACGTTATGCAGTGCTCGACTCCACATGAGCTGCTGCTGTTCAGGGAAGTCACCTTGAAATAGTCGCAGGCAAGTCTATGCAAACCTTAGCTCATAGCCAGTCATAAAACTAAGTAAATTTTAGGAATGTATAGAAAGGGGACAGACAAGTAAACAGAAAACATCCCTGACTTTGCTTAAATGAAGGGTAGATTTCTTGTTCTTTGTAACAAGGCAAGTGTGTACTAAGGGTTACTTTACAGTTATGTACTGAGTGTTTTCACAGTAAGCCAATGCAATTTAAAAACAGCAGACCCACAGAATGACACAAGTGTAAAAATGTCTAAATGAAACTTTTCCCCCCTCAAAAATGAAGTTTTTTGAGGTCACATTGCAAGTTGCTTTTCCAACCCCTGCAGCTGTGGGATTCACAGCCTCCTACTTAAAAGAATTGTTATTGATGTGTCATACCATAACTACCAAGAAACATCAAGCTTTTGGGAAAATAGTCTAGTGAGCAGCCCATAATCCTTACAGAACCATTTCAGTATCTCTCAGCACCTAAAATTGTCAGTGATCCACCAAACAGGCAAACATCCCTGTATTTTTGACACATAATGGTATGGAGTGATGTTTAAAAATTATCTATATTACAGGTTACAAGCTAACTCTAAAAATTGATTTGTGGCAAATGACACTTGATGTGCAAATCATTAGTTTAATGTTAATTTTTGTTACAGATGAAAGATAATGAAAGATGCAAGGTGAAAAATGTCAGTAAGGTTTTCTTGTGAGGGAACAGAGACATATAGTCATGCAAATGTCATGCATATTACCCAGAATTTTATAAATAGTTACCTTAGCTTTCTTTTCTCATTCCCATGCTTTTGGGGATTTGAAGAAGGTCCATGTCTCCCTCTCCTTCCTGTGCAATAAATAGTGAAGAACATGAATATTTTCCTGTCCTGGGGCAGTCCTTTGAGTTAAAATAGGAGAGACATTGTGTCAATTATTGTTTCAGCATCTTCTTCTACATTCACAAATGTATCCTGGACAATATTTGGTGGTTTCAGATTTGAAGGATTTGAGTTAGCCAGAAGGATTAGATTATTATACCCAATTCCTTAATGTCAGCATAGATTCTGTCAGCTCTGGCAGAAATGGTGAGGACAGTTGTCCTTCCCTGTGCTTCAGATCTGAGTGTTACACAACTTTAGGAGTATCCATCAGTTTAACTAACTAACTAACTAACTAACTAACTAACTAACTAACTAACTAACTAACTAACTAACTATATGCTTATAGAAATAATGAGATCTGTATCCCTTGTTTGTTAACCCTGGACTACAAAAAAGTTGGGAACACATTATGATGTCTGTTGCCTTAGCAGAAGTTGCAGTAACTCTGTTTACTTAGCATTACTTTTTTGGATGGCCATATTGACTGCTCAGTTTGACTGACATCAAACTCAGGCAGAAAGTTTCCAAACTGAGGCAAGCTCTGCCAAAACAAAAAGAATTCTGTTATTGTTGAACTCTAGATGCCTAACATGCAACTCTCAAACAGCAGTGCTGTATTTTGGGAAATACTGAACAACTGGGACCCAGAAACAGGCAACAAAAAGACTTCACTGGCTCCAAATGGCAAATTCCCTTTCTCTGAGAGGGCAAAATGGAAGGAAGTAAGGGATATTTACAGAGAGTGCTTGTTATTCCTTCTTCCTTACACATTTCTAAATATGCAGTTTCCTATTTGGAAGGATTTCTTAGCTAGGTAGGACTTATATTTCTAGCAAGTGTTTAAAATAGATGAAAAAAAAAGAGAGAAATAAGATCAGTGAGGTTAGTGAGAATTAGAGGGATTCTAGAGGCATACCAGCCAACTTTAATTATATTTTGTAATTTACTGTAAATACCATTATGGTATTTTCAGATACTGGGGGGAATTCTCCAAACTTTTGCTCAACTAACTTCCATGGGAATTCATGTGAATAATGACCTTAACTGATATGATATGGAATTAATTATTGTTGTACTGGATACCTTGTCAGCCTGTCTAGTACTACCACAGATTTTTGCATGTGCTAAGCTAGGCCAAACATTGAGAAATGAAGCTACATCAAGATGCTTTGCTTTTCCTTCATCCTAAGGACTGTATACTTCTAGAAAGCACAAAATTCATGCCTAGACCTGAAAATGACCAAATCACTCACCTTCTTTTTTTTCCCTCTTCTTTTTCTGATTAACATCCTAGGCGTGTTGTTCATTAATTCTTGGCATCTGCTTTTGTCACTTCTTGGGATGAAAATCTATGAAGAAAAATACCTCCCTACTTAATAATTTTTCCAGTAAGTTCTCTCTTTCTGTCTTTGTTAATTTCTGTTTATTTAAGGAGTTACCAAGGTGTTGTAAAGGTTAACTCATAACTGGGAGTCTGGGGCTGTACGATGTGACATGAGGACCTTGTCCACTCTGAGATGCAAGCAATGTATGTATGTAAACAATTTTGCTGCTGGCACTGTGGTAGCTGGGAGGGCTGTGCTTCTCCTAGTGGGAGCATGAGCAAGGCAAATGGAAGAGGACAGGTGCTGAGCACAGCAGTTCTGGTATCAGCAAAGTTTGCATCTGTGCTTGCAGTCTTGCCTTCAAGGGCTTAAAATTCAAACAGCTATTGAAGAAACAGACATGTCTCAAATCAAATAAAGCCAGAGTGTAATTAAATAATAAAACATGACAAACAGTGCATTTCTAGGGAATTACAGCATGCCTTGGGTGGAGTTATAAGGCATGAGGCCAAAGGTTGCATGGCTTTAATCATCCAAGAGGCACAGAAAGCCCCTGATGCTGACAGAACTAGAGAAAGGAAGAGTGGGATGGTGTGGGCAGTCTTCCTGCATACAGTTTAGAAACCAAGCTTTGATTTTATGCTGTTTAGGGGGTATGTAACTGCCTGTATCTCTTGCATGCCTCTTCTGGCCTCAGCTGGTTAACCTGCTAAGACTGCAGAATGATGCTGGCACATGCAACCAGCTAGTTCAGCACCTGAGTACCTCTAATGAGTGGAGCAGAAAGTCTAACACTGCATCAGGGCAGTTTTATCCAGCCCCTGTGCCTGGGCCAGGATTTCCATGAGTAGAGCTCAACAGCAGTGACAGCAGCTGCTAACTTTGGTATGGAGAATGGGGAACTGGGAGAAGGAGAGGATCCCTGGGGTGCTGTAAGCTGGACTGCTGAGGGGGTCAATGCTGAGGCTGAGGCTGGGGAGCCTTGAGATGATGTGTCTGGGGTGACAGACATTTTATGACTGTGGGCTTGGCCAGAGCAGCCCAGAGGATGAGTTGGAAGCCAGAGCTGTATTTTCCAGTGAGGCAGAACAATTAATGAGTGAGACGATTTCAGTGCTTTTCAACATGGATGATTAAAATATGAATCTGATAGCACTCTGTGTCCTGATGGCTTGTGTTGTACTTCTGTACAGGGGGCTGTGAGAATTCAAGGAGCTGTGGGTGAGGTGGCCAACTTCTTCCTCTTCATGCTCATCTTTTCCAAGTGACCTTCCAAGGACCTGAAGCTTTACCCAAGAGGTAGGTATGAGGAGATGCTTGCAGGTGCAGTGTTTCTCTTCCCCTGTGCTCTTCCTGTTCTTCTGGCATTTGGCTGGAGGGAGAGCAGACTTCAGCAGAGACATGAGAACCACAGCTGGCGCAGGATGTTGTCTCTCAGCGAGGGGCAGAAGCCAAACCCAGCGCTCTTGCTGCAGTGGCAGCTCCCAGGAGGGTGGGGAGTAACAGGCTCTTGGAGAAGAGGTCTTGTGAGGTGGGAGCCTTTGTGTCATGCTGGTAATAAAGTCTTCAGAGACAGAACATGCTGATTCACAGAAACTGAGACTGTTTGTGGGAAAGAGTTGGCTTTCACAAATATCTTAACTTGAAAACTCTTGTGGAAATAAACGTTTGGAACCATCAGAATGTTTTGGTAGTTTCTAACTGAATGGCTTTCTCATTTAAAAATACTTTTTGTTTTGAAAATTAAACCTAATAACATATTTAAGAAGTCGCATTAATAGATATATTTTGAAATTGTCAAAGCAAAATGCTGACCTTGAACTCCAGGGTTTTTTCCTTCACTCCAGCTCTTTAGCTTTGAAAATTGCAATAATTTAAAACTTTCCTCCCACTTTGAAGTGGGATATTGATATGCAGAAAACTGTTTACAGGGAAATTGTTTCTCTCTCAGCTTAACATAATGGACTGTGTCACTTTAACATGAACTAGCCCCATTTAAAAACAACAAATTTCTAATAAATTCACTTTAAAAAGAAATAAAACAATTCTATTGCTACAAAGACACCTTTTACAGTCACAATTATTCTCCCACAAGTACAGGCAGGTTTTTTGATTTTAGGCTTAAAATGTTTACTGATGATTGTAATGCACTCAAAAGAAACGAAATACAGATGGTTAAGTTTGAACAATGTTTTTCTCACACAGTATTTAACGCTCAAGAAAATCATAAAACAAAGAAGTCCCAATTCAGTACTGTGCACCATGTCCTGCTGATGTGTTTATTTCCGTTGCCTGGATTTTAATCACTGGGATGTGCTCACTTCAAATGTGATGCTAAACATTGCCTGTTATTATAATGCATTTCCCAGGAAAGTGCATTTTGACTAGCATGCAAAGTGTAGAAGAAAACTTAGGGGGATTGTTATATTTTTTTTTTTAACATGGCCAAAAAGAAAAACAATGGTTCATTCTTTGAAGCCCTGTATCCTGAGTCCTACTTACACTGTTACCAGTTTGGCAAAGGGAAAGGGCCTTCAGAGGACTGTGAGTTATGGTTGTACCTACAGGCTCACAGTTCCAGAGGGCCATACTCTGAATTCACGTCCTCACAACTCACTGTCATCCTTTCTGCCCCCACTGTGCCAGGAAGCTTCATGTCATGGCTCATAGCCTTACCCATGTGCTCAGTCAGCCTTGCAGGGCCCAACACCTTGTCCCCATCTGCTCTGTGCTGACATTAAAGACACCACTATGCTCTTTCCTAGGAGTAGCTGCAGAGTCCTTGGCTATAATTAAGTCCCACAGTAACCATGGTCTAGCAAGATTTGAATCAGTCGTTGACTTCCAGTGGTTGTGTTTTGGTGGTGATGGAGATTTCTGGGGCGCTGGCTGAGTTACATGGTGAAACCCTGACAGCGATGTCATTAGGACTCACTGGTTCAGCTTGTATGATAGAAATGCTTCTCATCATAGTGATGTGGAGGTGACATAAGATGTATAGAACAGATACAATTGTTGGATTTGGTGTTTTTTTTAAATTTTATTTTATTTTATTTGTAACATTCGTAGCACCTTTATAGTACTATATATAGATTCAATATATTGCATTAAAATCATGGTGGAGGGTGGGTGAAGGGTAAAGCAGAATAGCTATGGTGCAAAAGTAGCACCTTTCCAGCTTGTCTGTATTATTAAAACCAGGACAAATCTTATTTTTTCTATTTACTAGGACTTACTAGAACCTTGGTATCAGCTCTGACTCAGACAAGAATGAAAACTGTTCATCCTGTGACTCTCCCCACTTTTAGTGCCCTTCAAGTACTTTTTACCTGGGAAACTTTATGACAGCAATATCTTGCAACATAAAACATTATTGTCCTACATTGTATGCTTGGGACTTACCTTTACAGCAGAACACCAAAAGCAGCAGGTTGGCACATTGGCTGCTGAGCTGCCTGGGTGCTCCACGTCGTTTGTCCCTGTTACAAGTGTTACTGAAGCCCAGCACTCACTGCTGAGTGTGGAGGTACAGAGACAGAAGTGCTGTTGGCAGACATCACCAGCTAGTTGTTTTTGTCTGTGATTTCATGATGTTTAAGACACAGCGGAGCTTTTTTCTCATTAGTAAGGTCAGTATGCAGAAAACAGATCTCATGAAGTCCTGGTGTACTGTGTCACCCTGTTCCGTCTTCATTTCAACATCACCCACTCCCACCTTGCCTGAAAATCACACACTCTGCAGGATGCCTGGGGAAGACGGATTGTTTTCATTTGCAGGGAAGTTTGCAGCAGAGCACTTTTAAAATGACATTGTAAGAAATTGCTACAGTGCAAGACCTGCTCTGACTTTTATTTATGTAAAAAGAGATCTGGGTTAGGATTTCTATTTGGAAGAAACCCACGATTTTACTGGGACAGGGAGGCTCATTCTTCTCTCTTGGCATGCCATGCTCTCTGCAATCTATTTGAGAGGCAATAAAGGAGGTAATAAAGTGGCAATCAAAAACAATGCTTCAGTAGTCCTGAGCCACAGTTTGTGGGATTTCATTTGGAACTTATTTACCTAACCCACTCCCACACATCTATCTATCTTAGGCACCTACAGGAGTCATCTCTTTGGAGGGCTTGACGCTGTCAAAAGGTTAAATTTAGTTCTCAGAGCAGTCTGGAATACTTTATTGTTGGGAAGGGGAAGTGCTCAGAGGTAAGGGTATATGGGCACTGCAGGTACAGAGACAGCAATAATGACTCAGTATTCAGGAGCAATGCATTTCCATCACTGCCACAGCGAACCAGATTAACTGATCTTCCTAAGAAGAATCCTGGATTTCTCAGGAATGTGCTGGGACTGGAGGATTTCTGGCTACCAGATTTGAGTGAGAATTTTTCTTGTCTTGGCATCACACCGTGCTGAACTACAGCCAAGTGGTATCTAGGGTGGTCAGAAATGTGAGTGTTTTGGATGCTCTGATGTAAAAAGCAGGGGTGCCCAAGTGACTTACCTCACAGCAGCAGAGTGTACCTTCTGGGGCCCCTTCCAGCCTTAATTACTCTGTGATCCTGGGATCCTACATTTCCCAGCTGCAGAGCTGTTGCTGCAGCCCTAGGTAATGCCTTCCTTCACCCCACAGCTGCACCCACATAGGACAGTGCTGATACTGACAGTGGTGCTGCTCACCTGCTCGTACATGTGAGCAAAGAGTTCAGAGCAAAGCTGATGCAGTATCTTTTACTGACAGGCATATAATACAAATGAGACATGAGCTGATCATATTTTTTTCACATTCATTACTTTACGTATTTTAAAAAGGTGCTTTTCACAGATCTTTTCTCTGGATGTTGATTAGGAACCATTCTGTAAGCATCACAAGGCTTCCTGATTACTTATTTGCAGCTACGTATGAGGCCTGTCGAAGTTATGTTTCTGATTGAGCTGGGACAAGTTCACAGCATGGCTGGCTTCCATAATCCTGTGTGGATATGCTGGATGCTTTCTCTTATTCCTCAGGATGGCAAGAATGACATATGTTTTCTTGCAGGTTTTCATGACAGTAGATACTGACCTGGATGCGACAGAAAAAAGCTGAAGAGAGGCATGAATGAACTTAAAATTCAAAATAATATGGACAAAAGAGGCTTCTTTCCCAGTTTTCTCTACTTTACAGCACTTCTCTGGAAGTTCTTTCCGTTTCCTCTCTCTATTTTTGCACGTGTCTTCTGTAGGGCAGGTATGTGTTTAAAGGGCAGAGCTGAACAGATAGCAATAGAAATCCTCATCCTGTGAGCCTACCTTTGCAATAGGTTTTTATGTGCAAAGGTAACCTTCTGTCTCTGGAGACTGATAGATTTAAGGTCCTAGGCCAATTGTTATACACACTGTTGGAAAATTGGGACACGGTTGGCCATGACTATGAACTTATGCAGAGCATTTAAATAAATTTTCATTATTCCAGAATAAGGGTGGAATTCTGTGTTGCTTGCTGTAGTAAAGTCCTGCTGTTCAGCTGAGTCAGTGTAATGGACAGTTGCCTGAATCCATTTAGAAATAGTGGGCCAAGAAGATTATCTCCTCTTTATTAGCTTTCTTCCTTGCTGTGGGATTTCAGCACATCCCAATCTTGAATACATTTCTCTTTGCAACATACTTTTGGATGGAAGAAAATATTATCTTCCCAAGTCTGCCTACAGGGAATTGACATGGGGAGAAGTGAAAACTTCAGAACATTCAGGTTTCCAGTGGTACAGGTGGGCCCTGACTCAGGTAGCTGAACATTTTTTAAAAATGCCCCTAGAGATATCTCTCTGAAAATGAGCGACGTGGCAGAGCAGGGACTGAACCCGCCCTGGAGTCCCAGATGCTTAGCTAGTGCTGCAAATGCTGGCTTTCCCTTCCTGTTCTAACACTGTACTTAGTCCTGTCACTGCTGCCTTTGATTTAGAAGGCCCACTCTGAATAGAAAGACTGTACTCAGGGTGAGTAATGGTGGTGAAATTCGTCTTTTTAGTAGTTGATTTTTAAGCCTGAAAAATCTGGCATATTCACAAACCGTGAATCAGTGCATCCAGCTACAGATGTTATCCTCTGGAAACTGAGGATCCTGTACCCAGCCGTACTGTCGTTGAACTACAGAAATGCTCTCAGAATGTGATTCCTGTTTCTACGACATCCAGAAGACAGTTGCTTTCTCTTTGTAGAAGCAAAAGATCAGAGGAGGTAAAAAGCAAACTAGAATAACACAAAGGAAGGGGAAAAAAAATGTGTTCAAAAGACCTCTGTCTCTCCCCAGCTTCCTGTTCCCTCCCCCTGCCCCCTGCCTCCTCTTCCTTCTGTCTCTAAGGGTTAAATATGCAGAGGGAAAAAATTGCTAGACTTTATGTCTGTGCTTGGTGGGAACTATTAAATTACAGCTGGATGTTTTTAATTATGCCACACATAAATGCCTGAACACAACAGCGTTTTAATCCAAATGTGAGCCTCATTTATGTGTGTTCTGTGTTTGCTCTGAAATGCACTGGCTGGCACTTGTTTGTGGTGGCCCCTTTGTGGCATTGTAACAGTGTGTGGGGTTTTTACCTCCCCCCCCCTTTTTTTTTTTCCCAAGTGCGAGGATGGGAGCTAGTGCTGGCGAGGGGGAAAGGAAATGGGTAATAAAACAGAGAGCTAAGCGGCTCACTGGAGCCAGCGATGCTGGGATCTGGTTAATTGCTCCGAAATGAAAAAGATTCGGGGGTTTTCATGAAATCCCATAGGTGCATTTGCCAAGCCTCAAATATTAGATTGAATTACAGTTTCTAATTCCTCCCCCCCTTTACCCACAGCCATGTGTCTTATTTCTTTCTAAAGCTTGTCCACTTTTCAGAGCAATGAATGTAAGAAGGAAGCTGAGTAAGGACCGCTTGCCTGCTTGTTTTACACCTTCCCCACCTACGTCTTTTCCTAATCCTACCTTTTATTAAAAACAAGGAATCTGTCTCTCTCTCCTCCAGTGTATCCTGATCTGTTTGTGGATTTGAGGTTGAAATGTTGCCTATATATTTTGCCTTGCAAGGGGCTGCGGGGAGGGCGTGCTGAGGAACACTGTCTCTGTCCCTTGTTCTCCACACCCACGCACTAGCTAAGCATAATATAATCTTTTTCTGCATAGCCACCAAGACTTGTTTTTTTTTAAAGGGCTTTGACCTGTCCCTCTCGTTTTCAGAAATAATTTTACATTGGCAGCTAGTTGTGCCAGCATTTTTACTATCCCACAAAGGGATTTCAGCACCTGATTTGTGGGTGTAAGGGGACTTCACTGGGAAATGACGTCAGTGGCGTGGCTTGGAGGAGTAGCTGTCTCCGAGATCAAATCCTTAAATGGTAGGATTGGCACCAACAAAACTGAAGTTAGAGCTGAGACTCTCCTGTGTATAAATTATATCCACAAATCAAGATGCAAACCCCTTTTCTGACAGTTATTGTTTTGTTAACCAGTGAACAATGTATATTTTCTTAGCCTGGACATTTTGAGATTATGAAAAGTGCACCTTGGTCATTAGGCTGGTATCTGATCCAATGTTTCTCCTTTTGTGAGGAACTGGAAATCTTTCCTCTTTCTTCCACCCTGGAGCTGGGAAGGCTTTCTGAGTCACCTAGTTATGTCCCAGCCTTGGAATGGCCTTTCTGCTGGAAATTTCTCTGCCATGTTTTTCTGAGCTGATTTTGCTGGCGCTCTCAGCATCACTCCACAGTCACATAATTCTGATGTACTTCTTACTCAGGGACCCTTTTTTATTTTTTATTTTTTGCCTTCTACTTTTGCTTAAATTTTCTTGTGTTTTGGGTAAAGGTGATTTGGCATGCTAGTGTCAATTGGCTGGCTCAGTCCCTCTGTCCTCCTGGAAGCTGTTTCCTACATTCCTGTGTTATTTCTCACCTTCCTCATACCATTTATTGGTGGAAGTTCTGCTGGAAAGGAGTGTGTGAAATGTTCCTTCCAAATTATGCATGCACATTAGCAACTAAATGTAAGTTCCTACTTTCAGTCTGCTGTGATTATTTAAAATAATTAAAAATTAAGAGCCCCATTTCCCAATCAAAGGCAAGAAGGATTTGGCCACCATTTAACTGGCAGTGTTTACCCAGCCCCTCATGCAGCCTCTGCTGTTAGGCACTAGTCTGGGCTGCCCAGCTTAAGAGAGCAGAGCAACTAAGGGCATGCTTGAGTAAAGCATGCTTTGATACTTCTGCTGTTTCCTTGTACGTGATCTCATGATGCATTGCTGTGGGGAGATCTAACTGTTCTGCCAACTTGTTTTCAAGAACTGTTTTCAAAGGGAATGGTTTTAAATTGCTCACTTGGGGGGTCATTTATTGTCTATTTTTTTCTTTTTTAGTGCTGGGTCCTCAGGCGTTTGAGGGTGAAATCTCTATTGTTCACCCCACCTCCAGAATGATCAGAAATCATGGATTTTTACTTAGCCACCCACTGTCTTTTGACCTGAATACTTCAATTTTTCTTTCCCACCCAGTGCCTTCCTAATGCTAGCCACAGTCTTCCCATCTTGCTCTCACCCTGTAGGGTAAGGAAATGTGGTTTCATCCATGAATGACATTAATGCCATTGTGTGAATCATTAGTGGATCCAGCATCACAAGCCCTAGGGGATCAAATACTTGCAAACCACTAGAGAGAAATTCTAATATCAAATACGTGGCAGGAATCGTCCTAGTTCGAAGAAAACAAAACAACCCTCTTTAATACCCAGAGAAGGTCATGGTGCTTAGAGAGACAAGAGCTTGTGTAATAGCCTCGAGGGACCCAGAGGCAACCATCCTGCTTCTCTCTCCTGTCTGTATTCCCTCTTGCCTCCCCTCCCCAGGCAGCTCCCTCTCCAACAGGCTAACCAGATCCTTCCCACTTGTGGCATATAACAGCAGCATTTGAAGCCCTGACTAGGCTGGTGCCTTGTTCTTCCTCAAAACAAACAAACACAAAGTCAAGACGAAGCATGACTAACTCAGAAAAAATAAAAATTAATAAAGGCAGAAATTGAGCTTTTGTGGTGGGGTGGGAGAAATAAAACTGAACACTTGCTGTTCTGCTGTGGTGCCATCCGAATTGCCCTGGAGGCTGCTGTTAGTTCTGCCTTTGCAGGCCTTTGTGCCAGTGTTTCTGCTTTGCCTTAGCACTTGTAGAAGACAGCACAAGAGCATGGGATTGTCTCACAGCCCAAGGAGGAGTGTAAGATGTAAGTAACCTTGTGATCGCTTGCTGGCACCTCTGATGATCCCAACACTTCAGTAGGTGTTTAAAAGCTGATTACTTTTTTTAAAATTGTATGTAGTGGCAGGTGCTCACATTTTAAAATTTTGTCCAAACATCCTCTGGGATGTAAACACACAAGGCGTATTTGGCTGCTGGCTCCTGCAGTATGCATTACCTGTGTAAGAACAGGAATACTGTGCAAAATCAGAGAAAGCAGAGGGGAGTGATTTCCCTTAATGACCTCCTCTTGCTAACCTTGGAGAGAAAATTCGAAGGTACTGCAAACCCTTTCTCTGTGGAAACGCTTATTCCCGAGTATCAGGCATCAATACTTGACATTCCCTGCAAAAATTAGGTGGTTAATAAATTTCAACAATCTATTTAAGAAACTGGCATAGCAAGATCATCCATGTTGCAAGTTGCCAGCCTAGAGATGTGTAGAACACCTTAAAATAGCTGTTGAAATATTTGCGTAAAGTTATATTTTCCATTTCTCTTCTTTTGAAGAGAACTATGACTTAAAATATTGGAATGTGAGAATCTCCAGTCCCAGAGGGTGGTGGTGGGACCAGAACTGAAGGGAGGGTTAATTTTATCAGAGCAATTTTGAAACAATTTGAAATCAGATAGGCTGGTTTTAATTGTGTTTGGATCTGAAACTCTTCACAAATTAAACCTGATGATTTGAGTTGGAATCCTTACACTTTGTTTCAAGAGCTAATAGAGATGACAAAGCAATGGAGAGTGGAAATGTTAAAACTGGTATTCTGAAAAATATCAGGTAACAGCCTGAAGTTTCAAACTCTTTGATACTGACATCTGTAAGCAGAGATTTGGTAGCTTACTTTTTGAAGCTCATTACCATAGTGAACTTGCTAGTGCTCTTGCAGCTATGAAGGTTTAGCCAGCAATGATGTCAGACTCAGAATTAAAAGTATGTGTGGAATAGATAAGATAAAAGGTGCCTTTTTTCTTCTTTGAACATGGAGAGTTTTCTGGTTATAGTTTCTTGAACTTGCTGAAGTTAATACAAGATAACACAAACTATTTTGGGATGGGGAGAACAATCCTTTAGGCACAACAGCAACAACAAAAAAGAAGACAAGGAGGA